CATCATCATCATCATCATCATCATCATCATCATCATCATCATCATCATCATCATCCACTATAGAGCCATGGTAATGGGAGGATTTACCAACACGATCCGGGCGACCACCCCGATCGGTTGCCAGTCTGATCTCATATTGGATCGCGTGCAAATCGGAACATCTATAAGGTGCTTTAAAGGTGCCATGGATCCACTAGAACATACTCGTTGCGTTTTATTCATTGGACTGCTGGAACACCTGGCTGCCAGGGGAAGATTCTTAGCAGACACGGTGATTTCAGGTGATCATGAATAGATCATGAAAGCCAACAGAAAGGCCCCAAGTTGAAGGAGGCAGGTGGCAGGTGTGAACGTCTTGATGGCCATCTATAGACTGACATTTGACAGAAACCGCCTTTTGACCAACGTTTTTCGTCAAAGTGGTACAACACCAGCCAGATAATGTTGATACAGAAAAAACCCGTATATATAATATATATAACAAAATATGTATTTATAGTAATTTAATACATAATAACTATTATATATATATATATCCATGATTCTTCGGCATCTCAGATTCGTATGTCCCAACGTCCAGTCCCGAGGACCGATGTTTCTCACGTGCGGTCGTCCGTGGTCCGTGGTCGACGACCTCGATGACGGGACACGGAGAACGGAGTCCCGGAGACACGACGGACGTCCCAGGTGAATTGGGACACGGCCCTGGGCAACATCGAGAAGACCTTCGGCGGACCTCAGATTAAGCAGCGATAAAGCGAAGCGGCGGACCAAAGTGGCGGACGTTGGAAGTTTGGATTTCTGGATTCAGCCGCCTGGTGTGGATGAATCCACGGATTTTTGTTGGGCTCCGGCGGGTGATTGAATGGGTGATGATGGGTGTTTACTTCTTTCTTGGTATAGGTTGATTGGTGGTTTGAGACGACCCAGCGATGTGTTGTTTGCTTGCTTGCTTGCTTGCTTGGGTTGGGTTGGGTTGGGTTGGGTTGGGTTGGTTGGTTGTTTTTTTGTTGTTTTAAACCCAGAAGTGGCCAAGCTGTTGGCGTTCCATCCTGTATGTTCATCACATGTAGTGTTGTTTTTCTTCTCAGGTCCTAGTGACCTTAGTTCTATGGTTGCAATCCAACAGCCAAAGACGGACACTGGGACCTCGAGAGGTCGCTAAAAAGATTGCCTGGTTGAAACTTGTGATCCAAACTTTATGTTGATGTATCACTTCGACGTCCGTTTAATTGGCCGCCAACAAGATGCTGTTCAGGAGGCTTAAACAAACTGTCGTTTGAGATGTGATTAGAGAGCCTTGATCTTCTCAACTTGTCTCAACTCGTCTTTTTAAATGCTGCATGCAGAACAAGTTGGTTTTTGGTTGGGAGTTATACTATATATAATTACTATATATCTTAATGTTTATGTTTAAATCCACTATAATTACTTCGAATTGAGAAGCTTTAAAGCATCAACTTTATTGCAATCGACACAAGTAAGGCTGCTGGTGGTGGTTCCTATATCTTTTTCCGCCTGAGAGGGCTTAGACGTTGAAGTGCGCTGAAAAGAAGTGAATTCAATGTGCGATGCGGCTTGGGATCTTGACCAGATTCTGGAGGATATCCGTGCTGTCACATACCGAAGCATATCACAGCTGTTGTGTTGATCGATTTAACATGAGTCAACATAGGTTTTTCCACATGTGACAATCCATTTTCAGGTGATATTCAACATCAACAAACTTAAAGCAGGTGAAAGCTCCGGAGTGGTAGCAGAGGAATGCCAAAACAGTTGTTGAGTAGGTCCTCCAAGCCAAGTTGTTTGTTTGTTGAGCAGTCATTCAACAAGATCGGATCGCCTGCTTCTTCAACGTATACAGTATATAAGCCTTTTGTTGAGTCTCTGAGTGACCCTTTTGCAGGCCCAAGTGACTTCAAACTGAAGAACCTGTGCGGATGCTCTTCTCATCCATGTGGGCCAGTCTTCGGACTTGAAAACACCATAGAGCTGGTCTACTGAAGCTCAAGAGGTAGACTTGTGGTGGGACTTGGCAAACCCAGACACTCCATATATATATATATAATTTATATATAACTATAGATATGCACACATATTTGGCATATTGACATGGGCCCCTGAAAGAATACCATTGACCCCTGACACCGAGAAACCCTGATCGGCCAATATGATGAGAGTCCGGTCGGGTCTGGACGAAGCTAGGACCCGACATCAGGTGACTGGTCCATGTACCTTCCTGTGACGTGTTTGTGTTTTTTTGCATGTAAAAAACATGTTTTTTGTTACATGGTAAAACAGGCATTGTTTTACATGTTTGTTTGTTTGCTTTTTGTTGTTTTTCCCCAATTCACCGTATTTCTCGGTCTGAACAGCGAGTTTCACTCGGCAAAGAGAGAACGATTTCTCGACGTGCAAGAAGGAAGGGATTTTTTGGTCAGCTTCATGCCCATACTCTCCATGTATACATGAAGTGTCAGCTTCATGTTCAGACCTTCACTCATCTCCATGTTCTTTTCATCGCGCTCGTGGGCGTGGAAACATGGTTTCAGGGCCCAACACATCGAGACAGGAGTCGGGGCTTTCGGTGTTTGGCCGCTTTCGTCCCCACCGTTTCACCAGGCAATTACACCGAGCGCTGCGATATGTGGTCCTTGGGCATCTTGACCTACATCCTCTTGGATGGTCGAGCACCGTGCCTTTAGCAGTAAACCAAAGACGTCATCGGGGTCGGACGGGTACAACTGGTGCCTGGTTGGTGGTTTGCAAAAAAGAAGCATGGAGGATGGTCTGGTCAGGTGATTTAATATCGATATCATGTCCAATGAGGAGCTCAATTTAATGAACCTCTGCCCGGACCTTCAAAAGTGACCTCTTTGGAGTCTGTTTACGATCTTCTACGGGCCTGTTTGTGACCTCGTCCTGGGATATCAAGTTCGGTCACGAACTGAAGGTCCTGGTGGAGCTAAGTCCCACATCGCAGTTAAGTTGAAACTAAGTCTCAAGGCCAGACAATCACAGGTGTTGCACTCTTTGGGAAAGTTGCTCCAAGGAGTCATATTCAGGGTGGATTTTGGTGAGCAATTAGCACGACCTTGGCTGATGGAACGGTAAGGCAGTGAGTCAGAAAGGTGTGAAGATAGTGCAGCAGTTAAAAAGAAAACGTGGTTACCAGCTTCAACTTACAAAGCGCCCAGGTGCCCCACTCAGCAGGTACGTTTCCCTGATCATCCACTGTGGAGCATCGTTGGCAGAGGCCACAACTGGAGATCCCTTTGCCCCCTGCTGGCTTTGTGCAAGAGTAGTAAGTAGTGTAGGTTTGGGTCCCTGCCACACACAGAGGGCTTTCAAGTTTTGGGATGAGTGTAGCACTTATTGTTTTCCCATGGTTTTCCATATATATATATAATTCCTTTTCTCCTTTCACTTGAACTTCTTGTTCCCCAATGCCACCACCCTTCTCCGCACCTCTCCAACCTCTCCACCACCGGACGATGCTCCGCTCGTGACGCTCCCCATTCACGCGAGGTTCATGGGTCGCAATGATCGGCAAACCTATCGGCTCATTTTGCAAGGACGGCGAAAACCGCGAGCAGATGGTTGAACGAACGACTTCGTTTACACGAACAGGCGTTCAATTCACGGGGTGAAGTACTGGCCCTGGTGATGGAACACCATGGTCCGATTCCTCTTGGTAGTTGTGTTGGAACAAGCTAAGTCGGAGCGTTGTAAACATGACGTTGGGGCCTGTCCAAAAATGTCGCGCATTGCCTAAAAATCAAAAAACGTGATGCTCCCTGCAGGCAAATGTGAACAACATAGAAGTACGCATTTCAATGCAGCGCTGATAAACCAACATTTATGTTTGTCGGAAAGGTTGGTCTTGAATTTGAGTGGATTTGGTCAGATTTGAAGGATAGCTCAGTGTGAAGTGGTCACGCTCTACAATTACAATGATTCAACTCGAGGCAACTAAAACCAGCCCTTGCTGTGTGTCAATGCTTGGCTTTATATGTGCTTAATGTCGCGATGGTGCTTATAACAATAAACATGTGTCCATATACACATCCTGAAATCATTGAAGTGGACAAGCACTGGGTCACTGGTTTGGTATTTGGATTGAAACTGGTCATCCGAACGCCACGAGGGTGATTTGCGCGTCGCGGTCAAGACCTGCCAGGCGGCAAAGCCTTGATGGGTAAACCTGGCAAGGACGTAGGGCGGCCACATTTGCCAGGCAGTCAGTTCATATTGCAGAGTGCAGGATGCCAACGAGTATGTCCGGCATGCAGCTTGTGGACGAACTGAAGTCCACCAACAGCGCCCTTCAGGACAGGTTCAAGAAAGCTTTGAAAGTGTCGCAACTTCATGAGAGGATGACTGCCAATACCAGCATCCACCTTTGTCGAGGTCCTGGAAGCGGTGGCAGCGTTTGCTATGAACAGAGGCTTGTTCATTCCACCGCCAAGAGCTAGACAACACTTGCTTCAACGGCATGTTGGCGCCGCATTCTTAAGAGCAGAGCTTCTCGTCGTGCGCCCGTTTGCACCACGGATCAAACGACCCCAGACGCTTTCGATTCTCCCCGGCGAGGTCGTGAAGGGCAAAGCCATCGTCGACATGTGGAGGATGCCGTGAGCAAGATGTGAAAAACAGTGCAACAGCCAAGCGCGCTTCAACAGCCAGTGCCTGGTATGGTGATACATTGGTCGGATCTGTTTTGAGCAAGGCAACCCGCACTTGCACAGGGCACTTGGAATCAGGTTATCGTCAGAAACATAGATTCGATTATGAGTAGCACGTCGGCATATGATTTGCTTTTGGGCTCCTGATGTTCTGCGCTGCTTTGAGTACTTTTTCTGCATCATTCCGCACATGTTGAAAGCAACAGTATAAAGACCCCTTTCGCAGAACTGGATGCCTTCGTACTGTTTGCTTTGGTGAAGTCTTCCGTTTCCGAACCCGCAGCCGCGCACCCGGTCACCCGGTCATCTGGCGAGGAGAGTATCGCTTTGCGGAAGAGCGCTGGGCGCACGTCTCGGCGAATGCGAAAGACTTCATCTCCAAGTGTCTTGGCATCATACCTAGAGTTTGGAAAACCAGCCGTTGTCACATGCAGGCGGAAATGATAGTTCAAATGAGTTTCCAGGTATATAAACAATTTCACTGATACTTGATATTTTCATGAACATTTGATGATTTCATGGTTGAGGGGATGGGATGGGATGGGATGGCACCATCAATACTATGTTTGTTTGTTTTTTCGGTGTTCGATGTCTTCGGCAAGCTGGGTGACTGGCGCAAAAAGAACTGGGCAAAATCAGGATCTTTGCATCATCAAGTGGGACTGCGGATTCGGAAGTTCTGGGACTTTGGGTAGGGGGGCTTTCGGCGTCAGGCTGCCTCCAAAGACTAATTTATGGGCAACTTGTGGATCTCCATTTGGCACCCCATTGGAAGGTCCAGGTGAACCATGGTCTGGGGTTGGTGCTGATAAATCACCACTTGGGCACTGGCTGTTTTACTGTAAGACCTTGAAACTGTCAAGCTTTTGTCGTCGCGAAGAGATGCAATGTGACCTTCTGCGGGCGACTGCTGATCAACGAGGATTGTTTTGGTGCGCGAATGGAGTTCATGTTCAGGTTATTCTCAGGTCTTGACTTTATAGTAATAGGATGTTGAATGATTTTGGATGTGATAGTAGGATTGAACACTGTCATGAAACAGAGCATTATATGTTATAGATTATTTTGGTGCATATTGTTGGTTATATACACACCCCCAGAACTAATCGCTGTTGCTGTTGTTGTTTTGGTTATTGTTGTCGTTGTTGTTGCCTACTATTCAATTTGCACCACTCAGAACGCAAAACAATGACACGCCGAATCTTCTTCGTTTCAGAACCCGGGCCTCGTCCATCTCAGGACGCCGCCGATGGACCCATGCTCGCTCGATGGACCCCAAAGACCCCCACAAAGAAAACCGAGGCTCTTGCAGGTGGATCCACAACAACGCATGACCGCGGAGGAGGGAGGGAGGGAGGGAGGGAGGGTCACTCGATTGTCGATTGTGTGGGTTGAGAGACGAAGCTATGAGGAAGATCCAATGGGTTTAGAGACGAAGCCATGAGGAGACCTACGGATCCAAGTCAGTACCCTTCCAATTAAGGATTCGGGATAGCCAATGACAAGCAAATAGCTTCTGAGAAGGTATGACTGGACCCCTCAAAACCTACAACGGCGTGTCTCCAATCACCTTCTCAGAAGGTATGTGGAAATAGGGAGACGAAGGAAATGCTGGGCTTGGTCAAACGTTGCTTTTCCGACCCTAAAGAGGCCCCAAGTGATAGGAGCAGATCTGGAGCAAAATCGCACGGGGAGATGGTGACTGACACTTGGTTGTCCTTCACAGTTTGTTGGTAGATGTTGGTTCTGTATCTTTACGTGGCCACAGGATGGAGGGTTTTGATGGTTTCTTGGCTTGCAAAAGTGCTAGAGGACATGTTCTGTCGACTTGTTTGGGGTTTACCCAAGCAGGTCAACACCTGCTGAAAAGCTTCTCTTTGAACACATGCAACAATGTGGGTGAGCGAACCAAAGTTTTTTGAAAGAGAGGATACTTGATGATACTTGTATTCCAGCAGAATAGGCCACAACAGACTTTGGACAAACCTGTCGTTTCACTGCCCCATCCGCAACAGCCAGGGTCGGGGAGAAAGTGCTTTCTTTTTGGAACAAAACATGGACAGTCTTCGTGGGGGAAAAATGGTCGTCCAAGGGACCATCCACACATTCCGTGACATGAGTGGCACAAACCGGGTCCAGGTAGATCCGATCTTGGCTCGGCCGTGTCGGATCCCAGGGCCGTGTACCGGTGTCGGATCGGAGGAAGCACTCGGTGTTTTGCCCAGGAGGCCACGGTACATCCCTGGCTGGCGACCAGCGAGGGCGCGCCTAGCGTGGAGCTGGACCGTGGCATTTTGGACGGACTCAAAGCCTTCTCTCGCAGCAATGAAGCATGGCCGAAGGACCCAGGTTGCTTGGAATTTCTAGAGAAAGGTACTCGTAAGATTGATCGAAATCTTAGTTCTGGGATGACCCCTGGGGAGGGTAGTGCGCGTGCTTAAAATGCCAGCTGGGAGTACCGAGCATCAATGTGCGTCTTTTTTTCTGTCAAAGGAAGGGTTATTCTAGCCAACATGACATCCTGAAGGGCATTCTTTTCTAGCCCGGATATCACAAGACTGGAGGATCTAGCAGAATCTAGCAGCAGTTCTGCAGGTGTGGTCGAATTATTGGAGAGTAGGAAGATCCCATGTTCAACCCACTTTTGGTCTTCAACCCAACCCTTGGAACTTCTGGAGTGTGGGTTTGTTCTATTCTGCTGTGTCCTGTGCAGGTATAGACAGAAGTACACATGAAAAGATAGCAATTTATGATAATTTATTATGGTGGTCGTATGTATTTGGTTTGATGTTCCAACAACATTTGATATTGCTATTGAAAATTTGAATTATACAGCAAATATAAGTTAGGTAGATGTAGAGAGACAGTTGATGAAAACGTCATCAAATACGGCTAACAATATGTCAATGATATTGTTTGAAACAAAATTGTTCTTCCATTTTGTGGTGTCTTTGCCATAGAATGATTTTCGAAGTTTATGTCAGTTGTTTAAAACAAACACCATTTTGTTCAGGCACGTGTTGCGAGTCGGTGTCTCAAAAAAAGAAAACGAGCGGTGCAAAGATGTGCAAATCTCATCATCGAGACCACACCAGCCAACCACAGTGTTTCCAACCAAAGATTTCTCCCGCACCAGCCACCCACATCCCACCGAAACCCATATAGGCTTTTCGGCTTTTCACCCCGGGTGGAGTCCCAACGCCCAACCGCATCCGCGCGGGTGCACAGAGCGCGGTTGGACTCGACGACGCCCCTTTCTCGACTCGACCGAGGAGGTGAAGCGCGCCGTGCTCTCGGCCATCGCGCCCATGGCCTCGGTCGAACAAGTCCGTCGCCTGGGACCAAACGTGGTCCGACGACGTTGGAAGCGACGGCGGACCCGTCCGTCCGGACCCGTCCGGCGGACCCGCGTTCGACGGTCCGTCCGGTCTTCGCCGTGGAGGTTCCCACGTCCGGCGGGCCGAAGACGGATCGAAGAAGCGGGTCGTTGCTTCCGAAGACGCTGGGGTGATGTGGAGACCAGAGAAGGTTGGAATGGTGGGCTGGATGTGGTGTTGGGGCTACCAACCAGTGGAAACATGTGGAAAACAGTTTCAACGTTTGGTTCCAAAACCTTGGCGGCTTGGCGTTTTTTTTAGGTGGAAGATCGTCTTCGGGGTGATAGGTTGTTTTCGCGGCTGCCCAGATTCACTGTCAGGTAAGTGGGCTGATCAGTTTGAGGCCTTGGACGAAAATGGTACAGGCACGGCCCACCGGTAAACACGAGGTGCGGGTGATGTTTCAGGGTTTCTATGAGCCCAACCCTGACACTCCATGTATATTGTGTAGTATGTATGGATACATTGACACTTGAAACCACACAAATCTGCAGTCATATAGTATTCCATACATGGAATCATTGGAGTGTTTGGGAAAGGCAAAGGGATGAGCCACCTATGGAACCAAAGAAAGCGTGGACGTGGAGGTTGGGTGTTTGGAATGTTGCCGGGTTTCTTTTCACCAAAGAGGTATATATATATATATACATTGACTTTGTCCTATTGCCTGCAACAGTCAGTCGACAATTATCACTAATTCTGAACAAGGCCTGCAACCTAACTATCACTATCCGTGGGCCCGGCCAACGGGATATACCTTGGGTTCGTCCTATTACCTGTAACAGTCGGTAAAGGTCTTATCACTATTTTGGAGAAAGTCCTGCAACTGAACCATTGTCATCCACTGTTTCTGGCAATGGGATAGACCCAAGGTATGCATCAAGTTTTGGTGCCAAAACGGTCTCGGTACGAGGAGACATAATTAGAGGGGATCCACATCTGTATTATGAGCGCACCTTGTCACTAAGCACACCTCAGAGTTTGGGTGTATGGATATGTTCATGCTCATGTCTCACTTGTTTGACCTGATGGCGAGAAGGTTTGCTTGGACAGTCCAACGCCATCACGGTCGGCGTTTTGACCGCGTCACGCCTGGAGTCTCGAGGGACCTCGGGTACAACGGGTACAAGTATATACCTCTTTTTTGTTCGTTTTGTTCAGGTCATGTCCCCATTTTCCAAGGTACTTTGGAAGGTATAGATATGTTAGATATGTTGAATCTTCTCAATCCCTGTTTGTTTCAACCTCAAAGAAATAAACCGCCCGAATCCACCAGTGGTGGACCGTGGACCACAATTTCCACCCACCCACCTGTTTCCATTCGAGACTCCTCCTGGTTAATCTCGAGTCTCGAGCTGTTTTCCAATCCCAGGAAAACGCCCCATCCATGTAAGTACACTCCATGGAACTAACATGGAAGTGGAAGGCATGGACGCAAATGGTCCATTGGAAGACCACTTTTCCTGTACGGACAGGGGTGAACTGGTGAACTTCACTTTCACTTCCATGTTTCGTTCCAGGGAGAAGGGGTCAACCATCCATCGGGCAGTCAATTTTATCGGTCGTGAGAGTAAGCGAACACATGGAGAGTAAGCAGGCCAGATCAAAGTCTCAGACTTGGTGGAGAAAGTGGCGCAGCAGAGCGGTGAAGACGTGCACGTGGCCGAGGCAGGAGAAGACATCCGTCGAAGCGTGGGGGCTCGGGGCGGTGAAGCACGGCGACCAGCAGGGTGGTGAAGCATGCTGACTGGAGAGAGCGTCAAAAAGGAGCATGCTGACTGGTGAAGCTTGCTGATTGCAGATTTCGGAACATGGTGTTCCATCTTTTATTCTCAGGTGTGGTGTTCCTGTGGAACAGGTAGTTTGGAGGGGCCCAAGGTGTTGGCCTAGACGAGCTACCAGGGGGGGGGGGTAGGAGCAAGGACGCTACTAGGGGCTCCTGGCATCGCTACTAGGAGCAAGGACGCTACTAGGGACTCCTGGCCTTACTACTAGGAACATCTAGGAACAAGAAGCTATTAGAAACTAAGAAATATATAGAATCAAACATATAATTTAATTAGATTTGTGAGATTCACGGGGCGCATGCATCAGCGCCCATCCGAGACCTCAAATCAGTCGTCGATCAGCTCGCTTCTATGCGTGCGGAAGAGTAGGTATAAGGGTCAGTGATCGGTTCATGTGACTGTTCTCATGCTTCCAAATGTTGCTGAGTGAGTTCTGCCATAGCTTCACACAAAGCTCTTGCATGTGGCTTTTCCTCGTTCAATTTACCCGGTCTTTGTCCCTGTTTGTCCTTGCCAGGCTGTTTGCCATGAAGAAGTCTCTTGCATCTACTTTCTTTCACGAAACTGGGACCCTTCACCAGAAGAGTTGGCTTCGGCAAACTCCAGAATGGGTGTGTTACCCATAGAGATGAACTTTGACATGGGGATCCAGTTCATTCAAATTGGAGAATCTTGATCAATCACCTCCCCAAATGGATTGTATAAGCTTATTGAGTCCTGCGGGGTTGACATACCGAGTCTACATGACATTAAGTGGGTGTGTATTGGAGAGAAGGGAGACCCCAGATCGCCACTGGCTGGGTAGACTGGTTCCAGGGGGGCGGAACGGTCTCCCTATGACAGAACACACCCGATATGAAGAGATCGCTGGCCCGTGTACAACTAAGTGAAACCTGAGGGATCCTGATAATGAGGTATGACTGGACCCTCAGAACCTACAACGGAATGTCTCCAAGCACCTTCTAAGAGGGTATCAGGAAGGAAGTCAGATGGAAATCAGGTCAAGCGTCCTTACATGCAGAAATTTGTTGATGTCAATGCGGTATGCATGGGAGGTATAGCGTAAGGTGGCTTGTGTAGTCAACTCTGCAGGGAAAGAATGGACAGACTGCGTTCCATCAATATAGTGTGGCCCACACTCCGCCACGCTTTGAAGACACCTCACTTGGTTGGCTACGTGAGGAAAATATGTCTTGAAATGTTCACTGCTGGCTCTTGCACACTAAAAAGACTGTCAGATAGTCCTTTACTTGTTACATCGGCTATAACTGGTTAAATCCTTAAGCGATGATCAGGTCGCCTTTTTCTTCCCGCGCTGTGCCTTCTTGTGACCGGCAGGGGCTCCGTACATGGCTTCGGTGGTTACTTTGCGCTCCGTATGTGTCAGCGGTCGGCAGGTCTTGAAGCTGACGGCGGGCACCAACCAGGAAGCGAACTGCGCTTCGCGTCCTGCGCGCGGTGCGTGTGTGTTTTTTTATAACTGTTTTTGGAGGGCGGGGGGGGTCAGTTGATTTCATGGCATGGCTGGTGTTGATGTGTAGAAGCTAGGGACCTAGTTGGTACAAGGGAGGAAAACAACATGAAGATGTTGGTTGTTGATTGATATCATTCCCTTACCTGGAATATATACTGTATAACTGTACATACATACATTACATTACAGTACAGTACAGTACATTACCTTACCTTACCTTACATTACATGACATGACATGACATTACATTACATACATACATACATACATACATACATACATACATACATACATACATACATACATACATACATACATACATACATACATACATACATACATACATACATACATACATTATTATATATATATATTATATATGTCATTGTCTCAAAATGTGTTTGGTTATCAACAACATATTAACAGTCAACATTCTAAGGTCAAGCGATTTCATGTGACACCTGTTGACTGATTTGACTGATTTGCCGTGACGGGCTGGATCATACGCACGAATACTAATCTATACTATATGACTATATCTATAATGTATATACCAGAACCTTCAAAGTGACCTTTTGATATCCCAGGATGAGATCACTTAGGCCAGTAAAACACTTAGAGACTCCAAAGAGGTCACTTTGAACACATGTTGACCGTTGATTCATGAGGATCAGTGATGCGTGGAATCCAGGGCTGCCACAGAATTTGCTGCAAACCATCTAGATTGGGAGTACTTGGAACTTGGAACACCTTGAGCTTCACGAGCCGCACAAATTTGGGTCTCCGAAGACGGTACGATCCAGCTGGTGTTCATCAACATTGAAGAGATCCTCTAACTCATCCACCTGTGACATGGATGATATCATGACTGGCACCAAAACACCAAAGCACCCAAGAGTGTTTAACATGTTCGAAAAAGCCAGACCATCCATGGATGATCTCAGGAGATATAACCCGCCTTTGAGCTGTTTGGACTTTTTTTCGTTAATCGGGCTTTTCTTTCCTATTGGGTCACAGGTGTTTCCATGTTTTGGGTTGGACAGGTTGCAGCCCCCCCCAGAACTCCTGGCTCAAATGCCAAGGACCATCTTTGGCAAAGACATCACCATTCGGGAATCGAACCCAGAATCTTGAGGGGTAGATGACTTAAGTCAGGCGACTTGTAGCTAGGGTGACCTACTTGCCCTATTTGCCCATTTGCCACCTACAGACCCAGTTGGATCCATTAGTCGGAACTCGATTTCAATCCGAGAACTCCACGTCCCCCGTTCCCCCTTTTTTCACCACGCCGTGCCGAAAGCCACGCCGATCCGCTCGACGAGCGAGACGAGATCCTCCAGGAGATCTCCTACTCCGCCTTCCTGGCCGCCTGCCTTTTTCATCATCATTCGAATCTTTGGACCTGCAAGAAACTCGCAGACGACGCAGGTGAGCTCGCACGCAGACGGAGAAGCAGGTTTTTAAAGAGCAGAAGCAGGTTTTCGCAGATGGGTGATGAGAGCATGTGTGGACTGGAGTGTCAGACTGGTGGTTTTTCCTACTGGCCTTGGACCTGCATGATGTTTTTTGTCTTCTTTCTGGGGTCTGGGTGGGGTCTGGGGTCTGCCGACGTCTCAGAGAAAATTAGGCCGTTTCCACTCTGACACCATCCACTGAAACACCATTCATCCTCCTCAGATCAGACTCTTGATGAAGTTGGACCCTCCCTTTGAAGAGGATGTTCAATTGGGGGGGTCTATTAATCAAGAGTCTACATTAGACCCTGAAACATGTCTCTTTCACCGTCCGACACCAACGCCACCGATGGTTTCAACCACGAAGGTCGACACCAACGCCACCGGTGACGGTGTCAGGCGCCTGACTTTGTTGGTATGACATGTTAAGGTCGACACACCAGGCACGGACTTTGAGGTGTTCGAGCTTCTTCATGGGTGGTGGAGTGTCAGTCCTTAAATCCTCAAATTCCCATAACTTCCTTGACCCGTGTTACGTCCACAACGTTTGAAACCCACACCACTTCACTGAGATGTCTAAAGTGAAACGATCCGTGGCCTTCTTCCTTCCCAAGACGGTACCAGTCTCCACCCCATCCCCCCTCGCCCGCTGGCTCTGCACAGCTCCAAGGAGTGCCGAAGAGGAGCAGTTCCGAGCCCTCTTCGAACGGCTGGACAAGGCCCGGTCGGTCTCGACCTGTCGACCTGTCGACCGACCGAAAGCTCCTGGCCTTCCGTTGTGGATGGGATGTGGCTTGGTGTCCTCTATGAAGAGTGGACCTGTTTGTTTGGTTTTTCGACCTGGGATGGAGCGACTTGGTTTGTCATGCCACGCTGTGCCTTAGACCTTATGTTTGGCAACCAAAGGCTTTGTTGGAAGACAGACAACGGGGATTCATCCGGGAAGAATTGGATGGTTGTGAACAAAAGAGGCAGATTTGTTGATCGTGACCCCGGAATAGTGCGGAAATAACATGAAACGGCTGTTTGCTTTAACCTTTAAGCATTTTTAAACCATGGAATGGAAACGTCAATTTAGTGTATATATATACTGCATGATACACACACACCTGGGTTTTCAAACGCCTAAGTTTTTGCCGGATACATGTTTCTCAGACGCGGCGTAATCAAAGAACATGCCGTTGGCTTGCAAACATGTGCTCAACATCCATGGACAGGGAAAGAGTTTAGACACAGTTTTACACTTTTCTCACCTCGCTACCGCGCCAATGTTTGCCTTCTCACACCCAAACAAGTCTCTGGGAAATTACATCCATAACGACATTTTGTTGATGAAAAGGCCAATATGTTTGTCCTTTTGGAGTTCTGGGCATATGGGCCGGGCCCAAAAATGGGAACAGTCGGGTCCGCCCAACTGCTTCTTCTCCTCACAGGAGAAGAAAGGCAAGGTCACGGTGGAGCAGGTGTCCAAAGCCTTGGACGGCCTAGCCGCATGGTCGCAGCTGGGCATGGGGACTCTTCTTAAGCTGGGGAATTCATGGGCCAAATAACCTCACCTGCCAGTTTTTCAAGACTGATCCTTGGATGGTTCGTAGTCCAAAAGAAGGATCAGGTTCTGGATAGATGTTCAGGTGCAAGCTATAGCTCGGTGAATCCGTTCATTCATATCGATCTGCCTCCAGCTCGTGGTCAAAGACCACAGGTTTTGTCAAATTTTTGACCAGTTGTATCTACCTGACAGGTCGAGACACAGCCCAGCCGCAGACCTCCAATTTGAAGCTGTTGGACTGCCAGTAGCAACACCTGCAGACCAGTTGTTTGAGGAGAAATTGAACAATTGTGTATATCAATGTATATATTATACAATTATAGACACTGTAGTTTTTTATTCTCAACCAAACATATCTCACAGCTCTTGTTGACGCGGTGTTTTTCAGCAGACTTGGCAGGCTCACCATGTCAGGCCGCTCTCCATGGGATTTGATGAAGCCTCAGATGTTTGTTAGTTGTTAGTTCTCACCAGCTAATATGCATAATATGCACGTTCGAAACAGAAACAGGTATCATGTTAATTTAATATACAAATATTAGCAAACCCCATTTGGATTGAACAAGTTTGTCAATCCTCTGCATATGGGAGGTTGAAATGCAATCAGTTCAGTCCACTTATAGTACAATTACTAGGCTTCATAAAGCCTTCTTCACCGCTTCGAGTCGCCTTTGTCATCAATCCTTTCTGCGCCCGACGGTGGCCCTACCGTAATCCGACGAACCAACACACACCGACGAAAGCACATCTGAGCCATGCCATGAACCCACGCAAGCTTGTAATGAGTAAGGGTCTTGTCATAAGAGCTGGGGGCGTAAAGGAACACGCTCGTGCACTTGCTGCATGGAAGCTCATCCCCAGGTCCGTCATGATCTTCCCTCGTGCTCGGTCGGACGTCACGCGTCAACACGGACGACTTCACGACCGGTAGGTGGACGACCGGGCGCAGCGTAACACGGACGAATGGTGGACGACCAAGGTGGACTTGGATGGCTTGGAAAGCGACTTCGGCGCGCGAGAGCTGAGCTTCACGGACTTCCGCTGGCTGCTGCAACGGCCCCTGACGCCCTCGTCGCTGGTGGGCCTGCGGCAGCTGCTGGGGCTCTACGAGGATTCCGGCGGCTGGGCCGAAAAAGAGGGCAAAGGGAACGTTCGTAGCAAAAGGAACCTAATAGGAATGGCCTCCACCCTAAGAGCGATGGCCTCCACCTAGTAAGCTTCTAGCTACTAGTAAAGAACGAGGTGAAATGGAGTAAAGTGGGACCTGCAGACATCTTGAGTTGCACCCGGGCAACGTGATGAACACAGACCAGACTGGAAGACGATGAAATCCTCTACAACCCCAGCGGGTTTTCAGGTTCCATGTGCGGTCTCTTCCGACCCTCGTCGTTATCGTCCCTGAGCATGGGATCTGGACCTTTTTGCCGCCCGCCGCGGCACATTCACGAGCTTGCAAAGCACACGTTTTATGTTTCTTGGCCTGGACCATCCAGATAGGATAGGATGTCCAATTGAAGATTTATAGATGTCCAAAGTGTAAGGTATAGTCATGTATAGTCCATTGTGTATTGATATCGTGTGAGAAAATTTCTGAAACCCATTCTGCGTGAAGGTCCCTAAGTGTAGACGACTAGTTTCAGGATCAGAATGGATGTTTCAGAATGTTTGTACTAAAACCACCATGGCTGAAACCATCCATGATGCCTCTGATGTTTCATTCTCAGGCAAAGACCATCCAGATAGGATGTCTGAAGATGAATATATATATATATATAACGTATATAGATGAACCATCCAATCAAGGTCTCTTAAGTGTAAGACTGCCTGAAGCTCGTTTCATCAAACACATTAAAAAGTGCTCGTTTCATGAAAAAAGAACCAGGTGGTTTCAGTGCCACGATCTCCCTAAAAACCCATCCCCTCGAGGCATCGCCAAGAGCTGGCGCGTCGACACCGTCCGCGCCAAAATGGCGGGCGAGACTGACGAAGGGGCCATCGAGGCAGCGCGGCGCGAGAACGCGGCCTGGCGCCAGTGGCACCGTGCGCGGCTGCGCGAGGAGAAGGATGAAGATGGGAAGCTTGGACAGTGAATGAATGGTTTAAGGTGTTAGGATTGATCAAGGGTTAGGGTTTAGGGTTTAGGGTTGCGAGGGTTGATCAAGCCTAGTACTAATTGGTTGGGGTTAAGGGTTGATCAAGGGTTAGGGTTTAGGGTTTAGGGTTGATCAAGCCTAGTACTAATTGGTTGGGGTTAAGGGTTGATCAAGGGTTAGGGCTTAGGGTTTAGGGTTCACGATTCTTAAGAGAAAGGATATGAGCCGATGGCGCAAAATACCACCAAAGCGTTTGATATCATTCCCACCCACCCAAGTACCCTTTCCATTGCAAATACATACTCTTCATGTTCACAAGCGTATTCCTCACCACAAGTTTGCAATCACAAGTACATCCAGCTCATCGCTGAAAAGGTTGGTTTGTTGGATCCTTCTCTTCGTTACGTGTTTTGTGCTGGCGTTGTGGCAAGAAGGGACATGCCAAGGGTCAGTGCAGGGTCAAACTTGATAAGAATCAAGCTCGTGCATTTTCAGATGGGGACCTTGGAAGTGCTGGTGTTGATGGTGAGCATCAGTCAGAACCCGAGGAAGAGCGAGTGTTTATGATGATTTGTTGATCATTCTTTAGAGCAGATGGTCGTGCAGTGTCGCCGGTAGGAGTAGGACAAAAGTGTACAGTAGACACTTCTCCAAAGGAGCAGTGTAACAAGCTGTATGATTTGGAGAATGCAGACTGGTTGGTTGACTCTAGAGCGACATTCCACATCATTGCACGTTCGAGTCTGGATCACTACGAGGTGTTGAATAGGTATCAGCATTTGAAGTGTGAACTGAAGTCAGCCTCTAGTGACATCAGTGAAGCTTTTGGGATTGTAGATCTCGAAGTCAGATTCGCCACGGTCAAGCAAGGTCGGAAGTTCACTCGAGCGTTTGTTTTGTCACGTTGCACTGTTGCAGAAAATCCTTGTTGCGTGTTGTCACCAGTTGTTCATGTGAAGCGTGGTTGGTGTGTTCGCTTGGAGTCGGAGTCGCGCTCTTCGGAACTGGTGCTCAAGGAAATTCGTGTTCCGTTTTTGTTGAGTGACCGCGCTTGGTGGGCACAGGCGGTGTGGAATGTTGAAGCAAAGCGTCCAGACCCTGATGCGATGGACGTTAGTGTTGCTAAGAGCGTTGTCAAAGCGACTTCACCTCCGTTCATGCACACACCACCTGTGGCAGTTGACATGTCGGTAACTAATGTAGAAGAAGAGGCATCAAGGTCCTTCAGGTCAGATGGATCAATCGTGAATCGTGATCGATCGCCCGCTCGTCGAATGTTCGACTCAACGTCTGGAAGCTCAGAGGGCAGTCACGCACTAAATGGGTCAGAACAAACAGTAGCTAGTGAGACCGATTCCTTTCAGAGTGTTAGATCTTGTGAATCACCAAGTCAAGGGCGATGCAACTCAAGGGATGTTTTTGTGCATCATCTTTCTCAGAGGTCGGAGGCAACAAGGAAACCAGGTATTCTGAAATGCTATATGAAACGAAAAAAACATCCGGCATCGCTCGCCGATCCAGTGTCGGGGACCTCAAAGGGAAGCCAGTTGCATTTTCTTTTGAGAGCTGTTCGTCATCGTGGATCTCAGATTTGGGTTGGTGAAGATGAGATGCAAGAAGATATTCCACTACCTAACCAGTACGAAGGAGAAGATCTAGTTGAAGAGAGACCAGAGAGAGACTCAGAGAGGGCTGACGAAGAGGTATAGGGACGAAGAAGAGACAGAGCCAGAAATGAGCAGCGCAGGTTTGTACGAGCATGTAGCTAAAGGCCATCCACCATACTTGAGGAGTTGCGCTCCATATTCACGAGCTAGTGGACGTGTACCTGCTCTCGCCGTTTGTCAGCCCGCAGGAACTCTCAGGTCTGCATGGATTTCTGTTTCTTAGGTTCCGTCAGGTTTCTTCTACTGGTCGTGGCCTCAACTGGGGTGATGATGGCAGGAGTCATCGAAGCAGACATCAATGTTCGCATGGTGAACCGCATGTGGAAAGAAGTAGGGATGACTGGAAAGCAACTAGATGTCATGTCAGATGGTGAACTTAGTTTGCTAACGTTAGTGAGGGCTGCGGCGCGTCAAGAGAACACACCAGTGGTAGGAGTCAACTATTTGACCACGGCGCCAGGTAGACATCAACAAAACGGTATTGTTGAACGAGGGATTTTGTCGTTCAAAGAGTTGATGGGAGCTAACCTCTTTTTCGTTGAACAACAGATTGGATCACGTGTTCCGTTTGAGAGTGAACTTGTGAAACACCTGTGCCTCTACGCGTGTCGCATGCACAACATACATCACATCAGAGTTGGTGCACAAGTCACGGAACTTGAACGCATGCGAGGGGGTCCGAAGGTGTCAAAGGGTCCAAAAAGACTTTTCCTTTTGGGGTTCTGTGTTTCGGAAAGCCGTCCGAGAGTGCTCGAACAAGAGAACTTGAATCTCTTCCCCCAGTGTTGGGCCTTGTTCAAACGGAGGAGGGTCCTTAGGAATCTTAGCTGAAGCCGGCCGTCTTTGTATTCCTTCGACCGAGGGAAGTGTTGTTCAGGGCCCGAAGCCGCTGGTGTCGCCAGATGACGGAGAGGAAACGATTGAGATGCCTCCAGGTGTCCCTACGTTTATTCCTATGGAGGTCCCTAACACTTCTGGGCCACCCAAGAAATGGGTACTTGAGCATGGCTTATCCAGGTTGCTATGCATGTGAAGGCATCAAGAAAACAAGTAAGGCTCATGGCAAGGTTCACTCAAAAGTTTGTAAGGCTAGGTATCAAGAGTGGCTGAAACGACAAAGGAAACGAGAGGAAGACCAGACAGAAACGGAAGTAAAAAGGCAGAAGGTGGATCCAGGTGTAGGACTAAGCTCCTTCGTTGCCAATTGCACCGTCTTTGCCATCTGCGCCGTCTGGAGTGGAGTCCCCGGATGTAGCAACGCAGCCAACATCTCAGCCGGGGTCGCCTCGAGGTTCAGGAAACACGGAAGTGGAAAGACCGGGACCGCCTGGTCTCCCAGCCAGTTCAGACAACATGTATACAGATGCCATGATCAAGTCTATTGTAGAGGTTTTTGAGAATGGTAAACAAGGTGAAAGGTTCGATGCCATCAAACGGAAACGTTTGGATTGAGATCGAATGCATGGGAAAGAAACTGTTCCAATACATTGGTGGAAACGAAACGTGCGAAAACACTGGAGTGAATGTGGACCAGTTGAGCGAGGGCCTGCGACTGGAGTTTTCACAGTTGGCTTCACCCTCTTTGAAAGTAGGAGATTGGGTAGATGAGAAAGGAGCAATTCAGATTTCACAGAGATCTGGCCTCAAGATTGTTGCATCACGTTGGGTCCTTGTTCAGAAGAACGAAACGCTTGTTAGAGCTCGTTTGGTATGTAAAGATTTTCGGAGCAGTGGTTTGACTTCACTTCGAGAGCACTTGTATTCACCCATTGGAGTCTTTGAGACAAGTTTTGAGCTTGAGCGAATGGTTCTCCATGCGCATCTACACACTTGACGTTTCCACAGCTTTCCTCTACGCAGGCCTGAGCCCGAATGAAAGGCAGGTGATTCAACTTCCAAACACATGTTTGGACCCCCAGGGCAAGAGAATTTTTCTGTATCTTTCGAAGGCCCTCTATACGGACTTAGAAAGGCCCCTCTTGCTTGGTTTCGAGAGTTGAGTGGATTCTTTCTTTGATTGTGATTTGAGAAAACTTGTGAGCCCACTGTATTTCGATTCGCTGAAAAGACAGCGATAAAGCACATGTAGACCTAAGTTGCGCGGCAATCGGCCTCTCTTTCAGAGTTGAGGAAGCGGTTTCAGTGACGTTTCTATCCAAGGTTCTTGAAGGGACCACTCAGTAAAAACCGAAGAAAGTTCAGGAGGGGATCCTGAGAGGACTTCACCGTTTGCAGTTGCATGACCATGAGTTTTTGGAAAACAAGAAGTTTCGCTGTGACACTGTGAGGCTTTAGGTGAAGAGGAAGGTCCGTACTATACTCGCGTGTTTCTAGTGCAAACATGTCAGATGGAAACCAGATGGAATCTTCGGAGGCTTCAGGTGAAGAGAGCAGGCTCACGAAACGCGACGCGTCTCATTTAGAAACGAACTTGAAGTAATTGAAGTCGATGAAGAGTTGTTCACCTTTCGAGCCATCCCAAAACGTTGGAAGAACTTGTTGAAACGAAAGGATAAGCTTCAGTCTTGGATACCAGAGTTGTCTCTTTGGCTGCGGGGGCATTCGCCTCTGATCATCGAAGTGTGTTCCGAGCCTCAGAGTTCAGTTGGAATTAACGGAGGAAGTTGGATTGAACAAAGAGGTAAGACAGATGATCAGGTGGATTGTTGAGAGTACGTGGAACGTAGCTAGCTGGCTAAGTACACCATGTACCACTGGTTGCAACCTTCGTCATTTGCAAATCCATGAGAAAGAAAACGCTCTTGAAACATGGAGAACTAGGTTCAAGGACCACCAACACATACGGACGGACATCGGAAGCATCTTTCATGATCGACTCATGTCTCCATCAAAACGGAATGTTCTTCTAGCATAAGAGTGGCCAAAAGGGTGTGATTTGTTCATAACAAGGTATATCTTTAAGACCCCCAATGGGGCCAGGGTCTGAGAGCCTCTATCTGGAATTATTTTTGCAAAAAAACTGCAAGAAAACTGCAAGCAGAAACTGCAAGAAAAACTTACATTGTTTTGAAACTGCAAGAAAACTGCAAGAAAACTGCAAGCAGAAAGACAAATCAAATCCCGCGGTCCAGTCAGGGAGATGTCTTCAAGCACAACTCAGAGGTTCCAAACAGCGATGAAAGTCAACCCACATCATTCATTAATCATTAATCAATCACTAATTATCTAATTCATCACAGTCACAATCCCAGGAATTGTTTCACTGGGCTCAACAATAAAGAATCTAGAAACATATAGGCTAGGACTAGGACATATTTCCCCAGAAAAGTCTTGTTCCTTTTCACGACATCCAAGGCCGCAGCATTTTTG